TCCACCCTCACCCCCCCACTCCCGCCAGGTGCTGGGAGAGCAAACACTTGGCCATCCGGCCGCTCAGCGCTTCACCCTCACCCCAGCCCCGCATCTGCCCAGCCCAGACACGGGAAGCTGGGATCAAGCTCCGGGAGCGCACGTGGGGCGGGGGCTTCAGAAACAGACACAGAGAGGGAGGCGGAAGGGTCTTCTCGCACCACAGAGCCCTCTGGGGCAGCTAGGGTGATCTGGCCCCCTGCCCCCAGCCGGGGCATCCCTGCACTATGGGCGGCTGGGGAGGGCGGGCCTGCCTTCCTACCTGGGAGTGGGCACTGGCTGCACAGCCCGGAACCCTTTCCCTAGCCTGGCTCAAGACCCCCGTTACTCCTAACCCATGGCCCTGCCCTCACCCAGCCCCAGTCCACTCCCCAGCCCAGATACAGTCCCGAGGGGCTGACTCAGGCTTGGCCACAGCTGGGCCAGAAAGCAGAAGCCAGAGCAGCAGGGCCGCTCACTTCCCCTGGCCCCCACCCTGACTCTAGGGGGTGGAGGAAGCTGGTGGTCATTCTTCCCCAGGTTAGGGGTTTGGGTGGGGAGAGGGGTTGGCCGCATCCTGGCTCCTCAGCAAGCTCCCCTGGGGTTGGAGCAGTAATCCCTGAAGCCTGAACTATGTCCATGGGTGGGGGTGGGGGATGCCCATGTAGGACCCAAACCAGCAGCCAGCCAGGCCAGATTAGCCCCAGGACCGTGCTGGGCACCTCAAGTGATGGAGCCTCCGTTTTCTAGTCTATAAAATGGGAGAAGAGGGAGGTAGGGGAATAAAGCCACCGTGGAAGACTCAGAGGCAGAGGGACAGTTGCCTGGGAGGGGGGTGGGGCAGCTGGGCTGTGACCCTGGGAGGGGGGGACACAGGGCAGCAGTGAAGGCAGACAGAACAGCCCTGCCGAAGGACTGGAAGCTGGGCGTACCGGGAGAACGACTGAGATAGTCACACTTTGCAAGGTCTCACATTCCAGTCGTGACACGTGACACGGAGTCAGACCTCACAGGAGGAAACGCGCACAACCTGGCCTGGAATACAGCCAACGCCCCACGGCCACAGGTCCCACAGCCCGCGTCACACACGCTAGGGCAGCGCCAGCCTGTGCACACACACACACGCTCATGGCAACAGCTTGGGGCCCAGGCTTTGCCTGAAGTCCCTGTGGCTGGATGATCTGCCCATCCCATCCCTGTGGACCCTCAGCAAAACCCATTTCCTTCCTGAAGTCTCTGCCAAGCGAAACAGCGCGACCTTGGGAGCTAGTTGGGTGCTCTCTCTGGGCCGGGCAGGGTGGAAGAAATAGATAAATACAATTGTTAGGCTTATAGGACAATGCAATCCTTAACAGCCATTTGTAAGCTTCCTGCCACAGGAGAACAAAAGACCAGGAAAAACTCGCTAGACACCAGGAGTCAGACCACACAAGGAATGGAAAGTGTCCCGAAGGCACCTGATTGCACACCTGCGTTCCATACCCACCAGCTCACCCCCCAAACCTACTGGTGACGTTTCCCACCAGTGACTGCATATAACGATGAAACTCTAGCTACTGGGCGCTGCCATCGTCGACCCAATGTCCCCTTGGCTCAGCGCTGTGCGGCCCTGCTGGGGTCCAACCCCAGCAGGTCCAGGGGTCCCCAAAGGTGTGGATGGAGTAGGCAAAGAAGGAATGACACAGAGACAGCGTTCAGTTGATCAGCAGCCTTGCCAGGATCTCTAGCCACAATCTCTAGCCAAGTTCTGTGCAGGTTCTCCAGTCAGGTTCAGTCCAGGTTCTCCAGCCAGGTTCAGTCACCAGGTTCTAGTCAGGTTCTCTTGCCATGTTCTATCCAGGTTCTGTAGCCAGGTTCTGTCTCTAGGTTCTATCTAGGTTCTGTGTGTCTAGGTTCTGTGTGTCTAGGTTCTGTGTTCTGTCTCTAGGTTCTGTGTCTAGATTCTGTGTCTAGGTCAGGGGTTGGCAAACTTTTTGACTCAAGAAGGGAAGCAAACATATTAAGAACAGTATGCTATATACGCCAGGTCCCTTGAAACATATGCTGTGCAGATGTTTCTTTCCTGCAGCGACTGTGTCAAGCAGCAAGGATGGACCGGCTCCCGGCACGGCCCTTCCCTTTGGATAGCTCATCCCCAACCCCTCCCCTTAAATAATTTCAGTTTTCTTTAGTCACCATCTGAGATGGCTATTTAGCCGGCCCACGTGCACCATCCACCATGCTCACCTTTCAATAATTGCTCACAATGCTGGATGGACTCATACACATAACCCCAGCTCAGAAAGAACTCTGGGGGTGGCGTGGTAGGGGTTGTGTCTCTTGACCGCACTTGGCAATGGGGAAGTTGCACATCACGATATGGCCGGTGGCTGAGTGCTGGGACTCAAACCGAGGGGGCCAGTGAAGAGCTGGGTTGGAGTCTGGGGTCCCTTGATTAAGCCAGAGTTCAGGGTTTGAACCTCTCTGCTGTGTGACCTTGGTCAGGTCTCTCAACTTCTCTGGACAGAAGCAGCTACACTAGGGGGAGGAGACTGGGGGGGGGGGCCCCCCACGGGCAGCCTGAGTTAAACTCCAGCCCTTCTCTGTGTGACCACGTGAATGCCAGGCCCCCAGCACACAGTGGCCATGGAGAAGCGCGCCAATAACAGAAGCATCCACTGAGTTCAATGTTTTATATCCACATCAGTATCAACGTACCATACAAAACCCACCTGCCAGCCTAGCTGGGCAGGCAGGGTCGGGGGGGCGGG